AGGCCGATATTATTTTAAAACTCAACTTTACCTATTTTTTAAGAAACATAATTTCACTATGTTGCCCAGGTTTGGTCTTGAACTTCAGGACTCAAACAATCCTCTTGCCTCAATCTCCCAAAGTGCTGGGATCACAGACGTGAGCCACCACCACACTGGCCCCTCTGTGGAGCTTTGAGGCTAGACATAGATGAGTGGTTCTTGTGCATCAGCTTCGCCTAGAGTGCTTTAAAAGAACTTCCATACACGTACAGGCTTCACATTCATAGAATCTGATCTGTACTTTCAAAAACTATTTTGAACATCACCCCAATTGAGAACCAGTTAGATTAGGTAATATTTTTACATTTCTTTCAATTCCAAAAATGTCCAAAAAACAAGGCAAAGGAAAGTTGTTTCCTTTCTAATCCTGATGATTGCTCTGGATTGCGATCTTATTCAGAGGTGGGGATGACTGAGGAGGGTGTTTCCTGATGAGCACGTGTTCCTTAACTCATATGTCCACCTGGAGATCCTTTCACACCGAGCGGAAGACAGAACCAGCCACAGGCTTCATCGATGGTGACTTGATTGAGAGTTTCCTGGATATCAGCCGCCCCAAGATGCAGGAGGTGGTGGCAAATTTACAGGTGGGCCCAGTCAAGTCTTGTAGGTTGAGGTGTGTCAGGAGACTGTCCCTGGGTACCCCTCTTTCTAAGTTTCAAGGTGCCAGGGGCCCTCTGTAATCCTTACCAGATGGAAGGTGGGGTCTGAGGGGAAGGAGATGTTTGTGGTTGTGGCTCATGGGTACCCACTAGGTACCAGACTCTGTGCTAGGAAATCTACCCATGTTAATCCCGTCCTTGAGCAGTGAAGACACATTTGGGATCTCTGGCGAGACCCAAAGGTGGGAGGCAGGGTCAGGATATCCCGCAGGGAGAAGAAATGCTACGATTCTGGAATCAGGGATATTGCTCACTGGAAATGGTGTCTCTGGGGAGCATCCTTAAAGAGGGAAAAATAGACCAGGTAGTGTCCTTGCTGACCTGTGTCATCCAGGGGGAGGTGTGGGTTTCTGGTGAGTCCTTCCTTTCCTGTGACAGTGGTGGAGCCTTGTGCCTCCTTCACTGGAGGCATCCCCCTCCCCAGCTTCTGGAGAACACCCTCTTGGTCCTCACAGCCACCCCCATCTTCTCATTGCAGTATGACGATGGCAGCGGTATGAAGCGAGAGGCCACTGCAGACGACCTCATCAAGGTTGTGGAGGAGCTAACTCGGATCCATTAGCCAAGGGCAGGGGGCCCCTTTTCTGACCCTCCCCAAAGGCTTTGCCCTGCTGCCCTCACCCTCTTCTCCACCATCGTCTTCTTGGCCATGGGAGGCCTTTCCCCAAGTCACCTGCCCCCAAAGCCACAGTTCCCCTACGTGGAAGTGGGGCAGGCTTCATAGAGACCTGGAATGAGCTGAAGGCAAAACATTTTCTCCCTGGATTTTTACCAGTCTCACATAATTCCAGCCATCACCTTGGACCACCAAGCCTTCATTGGTGTTGCCAGTTGTCCTCCTTCCAGGGAGGGATTTTGCAGTTCTTTGGCTGAAAGGAAGCTGTGTGTATGTGTGTGTGTGTGCTTGTGTGTGTGTGTGTGTGTGTGTATCTCACACGCATTGTCCTCTATCTTTTATTTAGATTGGCGTTGTAGGGAGTTGTGGGTAGTGGGGAAGAGGATTGGGAGGGTTTCATTGTTTATAAAGTGTGAGACCTTCCTTTTACTTTTCTTCTGTTTCCTCTGAGAGCATCAGCCCTAGAGGCCTGGCTGCCAGGTCATGGCAGCCCGTGTATAAAACCTGGAGATGGTGGATGATCCCCATGCCACAGCCCTTTTGTCTCTGCAGACTGCCTTCTTCGGAAAGAAGGAGGTGGGAGGATGTGAATTGTTAGTTTCTGAGTTTTACCAAATAAAGTAGAATCTAAGAAGAAAAGTACATTTGTTTTGTTTTTAATTTCCCCAGCCCAGCTATCCAGCACCCCAGGTATACTATTCCTAATTTACTGCGAACTTAGGCAGTATCCTTCCCTTTATAGTAGGTGTTGCATTCACTTGCCCTTGCTGTTAGAACAACTCAAATAGAGAAAGTGAAGATATCTATACCTCTTCTTGATCATGTGATTGTTTTTGATGGGATCCCAAGGATGATGGGCAGAGTTTAGAAATTCACTGGTCTTTTTGGTTGCCCTTGACGCCATTTAATTCTTAGTTGCTTCTGCCGGTAACCTGCTGGGCCTGGGGGTTGCCTGGGCGGCCTTTCCTGGTTTTATAGCCAGCTCTGTGTGCAGTATCCAGTCACCTAGCCCCCAGGTCACCTAGTAGCTCATGGATCTCCCAGCTGCTTTTCGCCACATGCCCTCATTTCCTCTGATCTAATCAAGTGACTGGTGGTTTTGGTTTGAGAATACAGCAAGAGTAGGGCACACACGGAGTTCAGTCTTCTGTCTGGCAAACAAAGCCTGTCTTTCAGCTTGGTGGGCCAGTGTCTGGGCCCACATTTCTAGTGATCCAGTGGGAAGAAAGGCTGCTCTGTCCCCAGGGTGGAGTAGGGTCGATCCTAGGCATATTGGTGGCTCCTTTAAGACCAGCCTTTGATAGAGTGTCAGGAAAATTGTGGTTACAAGTTCAAATTGTGGTTTTGAGAGATTCTAGCTTAAAAAGAGCAAAGAAGCATCCCTGATTTGAGGGTCTTCTAGAGGAAGTTTCCTTCCCTGAAGAATGTTTTATTACCCTTTTTTCCCCACTTTACTCTTCTGAGAGGTCTGGGGGTGGAGGATAAGAGTCTTAAAAAATAATCAGCATCTCAAAAACCACAGTTTGAACTGGAAACCCAACACTGATTTGAATTCTAGAAGTCGGTTTGAATTTGAAAAGACCTGCCCGCCTGGCAGAGGCCGGCTTTAATGAGGCAGGCAAGCAACAGTCTCCAGATTGTGATTACTTAAAAAATTTAATCCTAGATGGGAGCACCAGCTGTAAGATGTCATGATCAGAAAGACAGAATATGTTGGGATTCTCATTCTGGTGCCCTTTAGTGGCCTGACTAGCGGCTGAGACCTGCTGTTGAGACTTCGGTCTTGAATTTGGAAGCTTGTGGAGTCCTTTCTATCTTTTGCTGTTTTTTGTTTTGCACACTCTTGTGTATATTCACTTGGGGTTGAATTCCAACTTTGGAAACTGATATTCTGTTGCCATATTCCCACATCCCCTCTTAAAAACCATTAATCACCTCTCTGGGGGTGAAAGGTCTTTGGAGCGTGGCTGTAGCCAACTGCAACAGCTTCATTCCTTGTAGGTGCTGATGAGCTAGCATCATTCCAGGTCTCTGCAGGAAGGGATCTTTGGGAGAATAATAGAAACACTGACTCATCACACGACCATTTAGGGGGATCACAAGCCAGAGGCTGTCATTCTGCAGCCAACAACTTGGATCCTCCACCCTTGGTGGAGGGTCCCTGTTGTTACTGTGAAACCACAAGCCACAAAATTGGGGAAGAAACACAGAAACTGCAATCAAGGGGTATGCCTGAACTAGTCCTTGAACAACATGAAGTTAGAGACTCCGTGTCCAAACTGAGAAGCCTCAGGGTCAAACAGAAAGACAAGAAAAACAAAAACCAAACCAAACTAAAGGAGCAAATGTTGATAGGCGAAAGGCGAATGCCATAAGGTCACAGAAGTTTTATGGGGAAATCAAAGAAATGCCAAGGGCAGTGTAGACGTTTGGAGATTCACTAATGGGAATTGGAATATATGTACTAAGTATCCTGAATTCTGTTGGGTAGATACGGGATTTCTTCAAGCACAAAGTTGATCTTGGCTCTTCCAGCTGCTCATTGGCCAATATGAAGCAAACTCTGCTGGAGAGTCAGTTTTATAGGGTAAGGTGGAGCAGGTGGGCCTCCATAATGTAGCTAAGAACAGAGGTGGCTGAGGTATGCTGGAGTATGTGAGAAGATGGCATGAAATATGACAGCCATGTGGACACTTGTCCCGTGTACACCTGTTGAAAATTTTGGGTAGCTGCCCTAGGGCCAGGAAGAAAGAGCACCTATTTGACATCAGTGGTTTAGTGGTGGTGGACAGGGAAAGTGCAACCTTCAGATGTTTGGGGCAAGAGAGAAATATGTCTTAGGATTCTGAGGGTCCTTGGGACTCACAATGGATATGACGGAAGTCATGTTCATCTTATGTTACAGAATATTTTGGCAACCTACTTGTTGAGAATATGTTGACTAGTGTGGGAGGTAAACCCCGCAAGAGCCGGGGCAAGGGTCTGAAGCCTCAGCATTAGAGATATAGTTACATCGTTATTCCTATATATATAAAATCATATAGCTATTCATATGTAATCATAAATACATACATCTATATAATCATACGATCTTTAATCTTACTAATAAGTCTCAGGTTAAGAAGTATGGGACTGAAGTGGCATTGGAAAAGAGGTGACCCTAAGGCAAGATGCTCTAAGTCATCTGTCACACCCGCATAAGGACTGCTGGAGGACGCCTTGGCTGTGTGGCAGTGTCAGCGCTGTGAAAGCGCCTACTGTTTAGCCAGCTAGGGAAGGAAATGTCCAAGATGGCCGAGACGTCTCCTTCCTCTGGGGAGTGAGGAGAAAACTCCACTCTTCCAAGTGGAGTAAGCCTGACGGCTGTCAGGGAGACCCACAGACATCCGGGGACTTAATTGTCTCTATGTGGTGCTGTGCTTCAGCGGTCACGTTCCATGTCTACTTTCAAGTTCTGCTTCTGCACCTGGTTCCTCTTTTTCTTAGAAGATAAGAATTAGTAATAGTAACATAAATCTTAGTGACCTTGTTCTTTCTTGACAAGGATGAGAAAAGTGCTGACGCCTTAGGTTTTCTCCTTGCCTTGGCTTCTTCAAAGTCTTGGGCCCCTGTCTCCAAGGCATGTGATTTACTTGACCCTATCACTGGCCACCATTACCTCATCCTACCTACCATACCCCCTGCTTTGTACTTAATAAAAGTCAGGGCATCTAGACGCTCGGGCCACTGCTGGTCTCTGTGATTTGGTAGCAGTGGACCCCTGGGCCCAAACTCTTTTCTCGTCTCTGTGTGTTGTGTGTTTTATTTCCACAGTTTCTCATCTCCACACCTGCAGAGAGGAACTCATGGGACCCTGCAGGGCTGGAACCTACAGAGTGGATTAAAAAAATGGGCCAAAACTAACAAGGCGAAATACGGCCTCAAGGTGAATGTCTGCCAAAATGTAGCCACACAGCTTCAGGTAGGGAGACCCGCTTGGCTGCTTGTGTTTAAATAACATAAAAGCACAACAAAAGATGCCTGCGGTTTTTCTTTACTGCCTACTCAGTGTGTCATCATTAACAACATCATTAGGTTGACAAAAAAGTAATATTAGAGTGCATTAGTGAAAGTACAGTGTTTGCAGGAAGGAGGCATGAGTCCAGGCCACCCCTGGTACTCCATGTCCATTTGTGGCCACCAGTTTAAGCAGCTCAGTAACAGGCTGAGGAAGCAGGAGGTCAAAGGTAGTGGCAGAACCAAAGGAACTGGGATTGTTCCGCTGGGAAGTGAAGGCACTTTCAAAGAAATGTGGTTCAAAACTGGATCGGACCACTTCTTAACAGGTAGTTTCTTACCCCTGGAAGTATTTATGCAAAATCTTGGCTAATTGTGGGTGGTTAAGGGAAAGATTACTGCACAGAGCAGAAGGTAAAATCAGTTATCCTTTCAGCTTTCTCCCAGCGGGATCATTCTGATTTCCACGCGCCCCTTTAGGCGCCCCTTCCTTGCCTAAATCCCTCCGCAGCCCTCTAGTCTGACTGCAGCCTGTGGCAGCTGCAGAAGGGGAAAAGAGGAGCCTTCCAGATCTGTTTCTGCCTCTCCACTGCCAATGGCGCCAGCTGCTTCCTCGCTTCGCCACCTGCAGCCGGGAGGCCGGCCATCTGCCCCATGGGTGCCCAAAGGAGCCCCGGGCTTCAAGAGCAGCTAGTGCCCCTGGCCAGGGAGCGGTTGGACACAGATCAACGCACTCGGGCGTTGGGGTGAGACCTGCTGGCAGGCCGGGGGCAGGCCTGGAACTGCCCAGCGGCGCAGCGACCCGGCGTCCTGGGTTCGGATTTCCACGGTTCCCACCTCGTGACAACCAGGCGGGTCCCACCGAGAGGGGCCATGCCCGGGGCGCGCAGCCTTTGGCGCTAGCCTTGTTCTCGAAATCTGTTTCCTCCTGGGGCCTCGGTCAGACGCTCTCAGTCAGCGCTTAGCAGGAAGCCGACTCCCAAACCCGGGCAGGGGGTGTGAGCCAAGCGCGAAACCCCGCCTCTAGGGGTCCCTGATCTTTGCCCCCGCCCGGGACTCCGTGCCTCGCGGAGAGGTACAGCGGGCGAGCGGCATTGCCTTTGTGTGTTTCGCCTGGAGGTGCCGGAGACCCTCCCCACAGCCGTCCGCCGCGTCCCCTCGCGGCCCCCGGCCCCTCCTCTTGGCGGCCTCAGCCCCCCTGCTTAGCTCCGCGTGCCAGTTCGGGGATCGTTGGTTAGCTCCCTGCGGCACCAGGAGGAGGGGCGAGGGCCTGCAGCCCTCTCCTCGGCACGCGGCGCCGGAGCCGAGCCCAGCCCGGGGGACCCGCCGCCGCCGATGATGTGGGCCGGACTGCTCCTTCGGGCCGCCTGTGTCGCGCTCCTGCTGCCGGGGCCCCCGGCCCGAGGCTACACTGGGAGGAAGCCACCCGGGCACTTCGCGGCCGAGAGGTAAGCGCCCCGCGCTTTTACCCCCCCGTCGCCCTCACCCCTCGGGAGCGCTACCGGTGTGCAGCCGAGAGGCGCGGAGGGGCGCCCAGGAGCCGCAGGCAGCTGCGGGTCCGGGCTACCTCCGGGGTGCTATCCGCGCGGGGGCAGCTCTGGGACGGGCCAAAGAGACAGCAACTTGCGCCTCTCGGCGGGTGCC